TTTGGTCCAGGGAATTACTAAGCAGGCTGTTTCCAATAATTAAAGTTGAAAGATGAATAAATGATGAAATGTTTAGTTGTATCTTTCAGCTAAAATCCACTTAGCTGTGTTTAAAAGCCACTGGAACCTCAGCTGACTAGCATTAGATCTAGTGATAAGTCTGAATTTTCAACTCATAAAGCTTTCAGCCTTTTCTTTCCATGCAAACCTGTAAGCACCAAAGAGGTCTACAGTCTGGAAGCATTTTAGATATAAGCAAGCAATCACTTTAAACTTTTTCTTGTTGGCGGAGCAAGAAAGCTGGTTGTAGAGTAAACAGAGAACATGAGCTGGTGTGAGGAACTGTAAAATTTATACAGTTAAGAAGAAGCTGGCCCAATTCCCTGACTGGGAGCTGGGAGAGAAGGAAGGGGTTTAGCTCTTCCCCCAACACGCTGCAGTGAGAATCACTTCTCGCTGCGCTGTGAGGATTTGCCCCTTGGTTAATTTACCCCATCTTGTTTGGAGAGAACATTCACTACACAAAGACAGGCACAGAATAGAGTACAAAATACTAGCAGTGCCAGTGCCTGTGTTTGGGGACCAGATGTGGCTAGCATATCTGGTCAAGGAGGTCCAACAGTGAGATCTTAGTACCACTTGGTTCTGCTCCCAATGCAAACAATGTTCTGCAAGTCCTTCAAGTCAGTGTTATCTGATTACTCACATCCAATGGAAGAGCTTCTACAGGTGACGATCTGGGCCTCCCTTGGGCTGGACTTTTTAAACCAGACAAAGTCTTCGGGAATCATTATGCCCACAGATAGGCCTAGAAAAGGTTTACGGACTTGTTCCAAGATGATGTCAGAGCAATGGTATTAAGTGGTGTAGGGGAAGGCAGGTCACAGTATTCTACTGCTCTTTGCAAGTGTGGAATTTGCAAAGAGCAGGGAAGCAAAAAGCAATGAATAAGGAGAAGATGCATAGATGCATTCCTTTCAGAGTTGCTGGAGAGCCCCCACTGTGCTGACCCTAGGCTGAACCACAGCAGATTTTAAGGACAGGATAAGGACTTTATAGAGGCAGGCAATCAAAGCACAGGATGGGAAACAATCTTGAATCAGGTAGGTAGTATGGTCCTCTGTGAGGCAGCATGGTATAATGGATAGGATACAGGCTTTTCCACACACAAGACATTGGAGCAGTCTCAAAACTTCTCTGAGATTCATATTCCTTACCTGTAACTTTGGAATAATGATGAATAATGATTTACAGTTACACCCAACAGTTAACAGCTATACCATTGGGTATAACTGTAAATCTGAAATGGCTTAATGTCCGGCCAGTGCATGTGAGTTTCCTTTCTCATCTTCTCCACTGAACACAGGTACATGAAGGGATTGGACACTGGCATAAAAGAAACATGCCATGGCACAAGAAAGAATCGGATAAATCAAGAAGAAAATAGATGATCAAGGTTAAAGTATCATAGAGAGCTGGACAAAAATCAATATACAAGAGTCTGAGATAAACATTTTCAAAGAGGCAAGATAGGCTTTGGCAAGCAGGGCTCATCATCTCCCTAAGAACATTCCAGAAGAGAAACTACTCAATCCAAGTATCTGTGGCTGGCTGAGGTCTTAGACTTGGAGTGTCTGTGGGCTCCACTCTCTGGGATGAAACATCCCTGGTTTTGGAATAACTAAGACAGTTCTGGGTTTCCCTTGGGTTGTCATGATCAGATTCTTTTCACCGAGTCAGTGGCTAGGTGCTCTTTTGATGGAAGCAGCGTGTTGTTCAAATAGCTGCAGCATTGTGTCAAGCCTTTTGGGACATGGAGAAGGAGTACTTGAGGGCTGTGAGCACAGCTGACATGGCAAAAGAACAGTTTACATATGGCTGTCCAAAAGCCACCACAAACTCAAGTCAGCTCCTGTCCACCCCCAACTACTATCACCTCCACACCCTAGTCAGGAAAGCAACCTGCCCTTGACTAAATCAGAAAACTGAATGGAGACCACGTACTTTTTCCCACCATGCAGACAGAATCTATGTTGACTCTAGTTTAACAATTAGGTTCTATTGTAAATGGGCTTAGACCATTGCTTGCTCCAAAGTAAGCCCCCTCCATCTGACATTTTCAACAAAATTTGGTTCACTGACAAAGGCCGTAATGACTGTGTGGTAACTGGGAAGAAAGAAAAAATGCTAAGCCTGGATTCACACAGGGGGAACCAAAATATCTCTCGGGATGATGAGTACATCCACAAATGGAACTAATTCAGACTGAACTTTTAAGTACAGGAGTTTAAGTGCAGGATTTCAAAGCCAAAGGTGACCACAAGAACCGGAGACACCTGAGCAAAACCTGGGAGGCCACTGGACTTTCTACAAACTGAAAGATGCAGAGCTAGAATGCTCAATCTTACCCGGATCTCAAGGGGCCGGTCGACCTCAGCTGACATCTAGATTACATGCGTATTGATAAAATACGTGAAGTTCAGAAGGTATTCAGAGAAGGAAATGAAGATCTTGGAGGCTGTGAGATGATCAGGAAAGTCCGTGTGTAAACGACCCCAGAGCAAAGGCTGTGTGTAAAAGGAAAGGCTGTGTGTGAAAGGAAAGGCTGTGTGTGAAAGACCCTGGCATATTGAATGGGAATGTGAGTAGGGGATGGGAAAGCAGGGGGCAGAGCATGCCACTCTGAGGAAAACCCTGCAGAAAGTATGGAGGAGAGAAACAGCTGGCGTGTGCTGGGACTCCAGGGACAGAGTGGGAGGAAACAAGCCTAGAGAAGCAGGCAGGGCATGGAAGGGAAGACCTTGTATGTCACGCCACGGGGCCTGGACTTGGTCCTGCCCTCCAGGGATGCAGTGATAACTACGGAGGCTGAGAGTGCAGGCAGAGTTGAAAAGCAGAGTATCTTCTAGTTTACCAGTGGCACAGATCTGAGGCCTCTGGCTAACATTTTGAAATTCATTATTGTTAACATCCTTGTGTATCATGGGAATGTCTATCAACCTCCACTCTGGAAGCTTCTGCCATCTGGAGCATTAGAATCCCTGTTTGCTGAAGAGCTAGGTCTTGGCTCCTGTGGAACAGCTGCAGGTATCACAACAGATGCTGCCTGCTGGGCCTGTCTCACTGAGGCAGCGCAGGGAGAGGAGAGCATGGCAGGTCAACCCTGCACCGTCACAGCACCAGAAAGTCCCAACAGCTCCTTCCCAGGAGGAACTTGACCTCTCATAATCACTCTAGGTCCAAACACAGCTACAAATAAGAGAACACAGATGGGTTCTTTGAAACATACACATGTTGGGTTTTTAAAATATTAAGCTTAAGGGACATTGTGTAAGCAGTGGAGGAACAATCCTGCTGCTGTTAGAGCCTTGGTCATTTTCTCCAATGTGTGCAGAGCCAAGTAAGGAGGGCGGTAAAACTGTCATTCCCAGCATGCTCTGCTCCATGCGATGTACGTGCCAATGACAAAAAGAAAAGCAGTTCTTTCTTTTTGCCTAAAAAAGAAAGCCTAAAACCACTTCAAAGCCTGGGAGCAGAGGATGGCCCCTCCCAGGAAGGATGGCAGCTTGTGTGCACATGCAGGGGTTTGTGGGGGGCGGTCATAATCAGAGATGCTTTTTGCCAGGCAAGATGATTAAATACTAAATCTCTCATTTCCATGGCATCTGTTTTTCAGCCCAGCAGCTGGGCAGAGAGGACCAAACTACTAAGCCCACTGCCTCTTTTCCACAGGATAGTTGCATACAGATCAATTCTGTGGGACTTTCTAGAGGCAGCCTGGTTGCCTCACCTGGCCCAGATGAACCCAAAATACCAACACTGCCATATCTGCACTGATTATAGGTCAGGTGCTAAGGAATGGCTTTATTAATTCATTATTATTTATAATTATTAATTAAATGACTTTATTTAAGCCTCATAATGCTGTGAGCAAGGCAAGATTACCCCATTTGACCAATAAGGAAACCCAGGCTTATGGTGATCAAATCATTTGCCCAGGTAACACCAACAGTAAGTGGTAAGGAGGGGCCTTCACTTAGGTTTAACGACACCTCTTAGCCACTATGTTTCTCTGCCTCCTGCAGGTAAAATAAGCCTCCCTGGGCTCACCAGGGAGGCCAAGCGGCAATAAGAGTGGTCAAAGGCAGAAATAAACGGAGAGCTTTCACCTTTGTATTGATTGCCTTCATACACCCCTTCCCCACATCCAGATTCAAGGTGAGGCTTCTCATCCTTCTCAATATCCCTCGTGCCCATCAAGGTGCTGGGTGCTGGCAGGTGTTTCAACAGTGTTTGGTCTCCAACAAGAGACCTATTTCCAGAGTTCTGGGGGAGGTGGCTCACTCTATCAGAAGGGATAGGGCTACTTCTTTTGGCAACCAAACTTTACTGCTGTGCTTAGTGGTATCTGATCAGCTAAAGTTCTTCATAGGATCCTGCTCAAGGCTGGTGGTAGGGAAATGGGGGTGTAGAGAAGGCAAGGAAGAGCCTTCAAAGGCTTCATTTGAAACAAGGAACCATCCCTTCATTGGCCTTGGCAGAGACAAAAATGAATCTCAAAGAAACCTTAAGTGGGGGATATGACACAAGGGGAAAGCCACATCATTGCTCAGGGTAAACCCAGAAGCACTGTGCCCAGTCCAGCCTCCGGGCAGGGTTGACACGCCCTCATCTTCCAGTGCTTCCTCTCTTCCCACTGCCTCCTTCCATCATCTGGGTCTGAAAACAAATCATTCACGGGATGGGCATGTGCTTCCAATTAGATATTTCCCCAGCTAGCTTCTGTTTTCTCTATCCTACAGGACTGAACACATTGTGGGAATAGGCACTAGATTTCATGTTTCCTTCCAGCTCATCCCTCCCCTTTCCTTTCCTATGTATGTGCATTTGTGTGACATTCAATTTAACTGGGAAAGGACCAGTTTGCCAGAGCAGTGGGTGTCTGTTCTGACTTGGGCTTGGTGTTCTTTGTCAGGGAAAACAGCTACCTTCTCCATGGCTACCAGAAGCAGTGACAAACTAGGTTCCTCCGGTCCCCCTCCATCAAGTCTGGGTAATGTGCTGACTTGCTCTATGGAGAAGCACACTGCTATATGGTTTCTCCCTCACCAGCCAGGCAGAGCCTGAGCTGGGTCTCCCTAAGTGTAAGTACTTTAGAAAACCAAGCTCTAGGCTGGGCGAAGCAGTGGCTCACACCTGTAATCCCAGGGCCCTGGGAGGCCAAAGCAGGAGGATTGCTTGAGCCCAGGAGTTAGAGGCCAGCCTGGGTAACACTGCGAGACCCCACCTCTACCAAAAAAAAAAAAAAAAAAATTAGCTGGGTGTGGAGGCATGTGCCTGTAGTCCTAGATTATATGGGAGGATTGCTTGAGCCCAGGAAGTCAAGGCTGCAGTGAGCTATGACCATGTCACTGCACTCCAGCCTGGGCGACAGAGCGAGCGAGACCCTGTCTCAGAAAAGAAAGAGAACAGAAAAAGGAGGAGAGAAGAGAAGAGGAAGAGAAGAGAGAAAAAAGAGAAAAGAAAACTCTGGCTAGGAAAGGCACCTAGAGGTCCCTAACACATGGGGCAGCAAGCGAGCAGTTATTCAGGATGTATTTGCGATAAATGAAGACAGGTATGAGTATGGATTTCCCATCCCCTTAAATAAGAATTCAATAAAAAATAAATATCAGTCAGAATAAGGAGGAGATTCTACCCCAGCAGCAATTTCTGTTAGGATGCTACAAGGGCAGTGTGAGAGAAAAAGCCAAGAGTAGTGGTTGAAACATAAGATATTAAAAAGCAGCCTCAACAACCACAGAGATACCAGAATTGAAGGAGGGGGAGGAAAGTGTAGCACTGTGGTTATAGTGAGGGTTCTGAGTTAGACCACCTGTGTTCAAATCCTGGTTCATCCACTTTTTCGTGTGTGACCTTGGGTACAATGACCCAACTTCCTAAATATTAGTTTCCTCATCTGTGAAATGGGGATAATGATATGACCTACCTCATGAAACCTGGAGTGAGGATTATATAAGATGACACATTTGAACTTGTGCATTCAATAAATGTTAGCTGTTGATACTTTTAAAATAACAGTAGATATAATGATGCAACGTGGTGTAACTGGCTTTTCCCATACCATAGAATGGGTCCTCATAGGAGGCAGCTGACAGGTCAAAGTCTGAATTAAGAGACTAGCTCATCAACAAGACTATTTTCTATTTCTCAGGTAATGGAGGCAGTCTCCATGGCACCTAAGAGCATCCAGAAACAAAATGAGACATAGCTGCCTTGCTGAATTGTGTCCTCTGCCCAATATGGATTCATGCTCAGGTCTTTATAACTCAAGAGTAAGCCAAACCCACATTAGTAATTTTAGCAACAACAACACAAAGCACAACACACGTAAATGAGATGCAGGTGAGGTAGGATTAGGGCCAGGACGAAGCAGGGAGCAAACTCATCATAAAACCACTATAAAAACTATCTAGAAACTCACCTTTACCTAAATCAGAATGGATTTTGATGACAAAGCCATCAAAGCCAAAAGTCAAGAAAATGCAAAACGTCACGTACACCTCAATCTCACTTACACTCCGTCACTACTCCCTGCACACACTTGCAACAATCCCATGGTCGCTTTCAAAACTCTGCACCATCGGATCATTAGCCAAAGCACGTTTAGTTTTCTGGAACTGCAAACATGAAATGGGGAGAGGATCAAAGGGAAACTCAGCCAGAGCAGAGGAAACAATGGAACAGTGGGTTGGGATTAAACCATGCTTTGCAGGACACAGAGAAAGTCTAACCTAGATATCTTTTTCTGGCCCAGAGTGAAGCGGATGATTTTGCTTTGAGATGAGTCCTTGGATGATGCACTGCATGATAAGAAAGAAAAAAGTGGAAGAGCTGAGTGAGGAGAGAGAAGATACATTAGACACGCAAATCCTAAGGGTCTTCTGACAATGAGGATGCTGCTGTATTTTCCTACTGCCCACTGTTTTCTATGACATGCAGCTTTCTTTCTAGGTCTCACTTTACTCATTTGATAGATTTCCAATGTGAAGAAACTGCTTTTAAGATTATGTAAGAATGCTTGCGGGTATGTATGCCTGTGTGTGTTTCTTTAAACATTAAATGTCTTTCTTGTCTTAAGGCCTTATTCTCAAAATAAGGCCTTAAGGCATGGGGTCCCTAACAAGTAAATAAAGTTTATGCCTTTCTAAAGTACTGAGATGTTTCTATTTCACATGCTTGTTCCACTTGGATGCTTTTCAGATGAATATCCTCAGTATCCCATAAAGGTGACCCAAAACAAGGGGATAGATTTTTGCAAATCTATACCCAGATGTTGCTTGTCTTGGGAATTTTTGCTTTTAGTGCTTTAGAAGTGACAATTTAATGCTTGTTAAACTCAATCGATTTTTTCTTATACTATAAATTGGTACATATGAAGAATTTTAGTTAGGCTTAATAAAGGAAAAAGTTAAACTTATTTACTTTATTTACTGCTTTAACAATAGAAATCTTTATCTTTCTTGCATCCATACATCCTGTATCATGTTCATAGAAGCATCTGAGGTGAGAAATAATTTGTTGGTTTTACTACTCTTAGGGAGTGAAGAGAGAGAGGAGAATGGAGGGAAAAAAAAGTCATTTTCTGGGTTATTCCTTAGTAACTGAATACTGATTATCTGTGTAGAAACAGGTGGAGAAAAAAGCAAGTCCTGGAGACTATGCTCCTCTCCTGGACTCTGGACCAGGAAAGAATTTCACAGGGTGAAATGTGGATTAAGTTCTTGGCCACCATGCCAGTTGTGAGATGAGCTGAAGCAAAGAAGCAAAGTAAACCTCTATGAGGCTGTCACGGAGGATTTGCTCTGATTCCTTCAAGCCAGTGTCTCAGATTTTTCTTTGCCAACTTCCATAACTTCTTTACTAGCAAACTTCATGGAAAGTTGTCGAAGTTTTAGTGCTTTCTACCCCTCAGGAGTGCTGAATCTAGACAGTTTCAAAATAGTTTTTAAGCAGAGTTCTAAAAGAAAAACAAAACAAACCATGTGGGGGTTTGCACCAACATTTGACATTAATAATCAAGGGTCCAAACCACTGCCCTTGGAATTTTGCTTATCAAAGATAGAATCTGGAGACTGAGCCACTGATGTAATTTTATCATTCTTAAATTTATAGCCAGAGTGTTGCTGTGGGAATAGCATATCCCTAGACCTTGAGAACAAGATTATCCTTTGGAAGTAAAACTAGAAAGTATCCGGATCCGGTGAATAAAACCAGCCTCCTGCAGAAGTAACTCAACCTGGGTAAGATGAAGGGTGAGTGAGGACATACAGCAACCCAAAGCCCAGTCCGTGTCACCTGTAGGGTCAGGGGACCATGATGGCAGGACACTTTGTAGCTGGAATAAATGAATGTAAAAATCTGACTCAAGTAAGTTTGGCTCTTGTTCAGGTAAAGCACTCATCAATAGTAGGATGTTTTGGCTTACTGGGAGATGGGTTCTCTGACTGGAATATCTGGTTATTTTAAGACAACAAACACCTACTATGGAAATGGATGCCTCAGGCCAGCAAAGCTCAGTGACACAAACCAGTATTTCTTAATACATGTTCCTTAGAGTGAAATGTTCCATAAAATAAGAAGAATGCTGTTGCCAAGTTTGTAGAATGCTCCTTTCTGTGTCACCACCTGTCTGAACATCCATAATGCATACCTGCTCTCCTGGGCTTCCACATCTCAAAGAATAATACCATCACTTACTTAACTGTTCAAACCAGGAATCTAGGCTTTATCTGTTATTCCTCTCTTTCCATCACTCCAGAGAGTTAATCTGTTTGCAGGCCTCTTAGCTCAACTCCCTAAGGATTCAGAATTGGTCCATCTCCATTTCTGCTTCTATTACCTTGACACAACTCATCTATAGTATTGCAAAGTCCTCTCAACTGGCATCCTTCCTTCCATTCTTGTCTTCCACAATCTCCTCCAAAGAGAAGCAAAGGTGAATTTTTAAAACTGCCAATCAGATCAACTCTTTCTACTACTTTAAGACTTCCCATGGCTTCCTGTCATCCTTAGAATGGAGTCCAAACCCTATCCAGTTTAGCTGGTACTCTATGATGGGTCCTGAGTGCCATAGCAATGCACAACTCCAGGGACCACAGGTCTCGCTGTCATCCACATAAATGGTAGCAGCCCTCTCTCCTTCCAAACTACCTTATCACTGGTTCCTCTCCTCCCCTACTAAGCTGTAATAGCCTTGTTTATGCTCTTCTAACACAACAAGCTTACTTTTCATGTCTCAAGAGAGATTTCCTATCAACCAAACCTAAATTAGCAGCCCAGCCCCTCTGAATCCCATCATCTTATTGTAGTACTGATCACTATCTGATAGCCTCCTTCCCTGTTCATGTGCTTCTGTGCCTGTCTCCTCTAGGAGCATGAATAGCAGGCACCATGGCAGTCCCATTCATTTTTGACTTCCAAGGGCCTAGAACAGTGCCTGGCACATGGGAGACTTAATACCAATTAAATTAACAGATGCATATTGGCAGATTCAAGGATCTGAGTAGACCTACGATAACAGCCATATAACAATTTAACCCCAATTATCTTCCAATATTTCCCCCCACACAACTCTTCTCCTGCAATATGACCCAAGTTAACATCCCAGGGAATAAGCACTCTGCAGAATGCAGTTTGGGAAATGATGCCTGATCATTTAAATCATCCATGTCCATCAGGGAAGCTGTGACTGGGAGTGACTCCCACTCAGGCAGTTCTCCAGGGAAGGGTTTAGCAACTGGCTGCTAGGCTGTCTGTTCCTCATTGCTAGTCCAGGCGTCTCTCCCATCCCACAAATTTCCATAATGCAAACTGGATATAATTAGATAATTAATTAGGGGGCCTGATTTACATTGCACCCATCACTGCTGGTTTTAACACCATCACAATTGGGAAACTTCTCATGAGAAAAAAAGAAGGCTATAACTGTCTATAAGGCAACAGCTGTGTTTGAGCAGCTTTGTGCTCTGCCCAACTACAATGAGTAATAAAATGTATATCAAGGTGTGTGAGAAGCCTTACCATTATTAATTCTGGTGCTTTGGGGGAATGGAAAGAAAAGGCCATAACTCTTCAGCACACACTGGATGAATTCAAGCAATCAATCTGATCAGTGACATTTAGGGTTTAGAGCTGAAGACTTCTGGCTTAAAAGAAAACAGTATGAACTCTTCTGCAGAACTTGACCTCAAGTCAAAAACCTTCTAGTGCCTAAAATCTTCCTGTTTTTACTGCCATTTAGACAAAAGTTTTACAGGGTGGTATTTTGCAGTTGTTTAGACATGCAACTATTTCCATTGTACCACAGTAGATGGTAAATACAGAGGCAATCGGCTTGTACCTGGTGAGTCTGACTGGCAAACATGTCTCTCTGGGAACAAAATCCAGGCCCTAACCCTGCAGATCACTCCTGCATGGTGGGACTCTTCCCATTTTAGTTCAACACAACACAATCACATTTAATGGTAATTGCTCCCATTAGGCAATGCTGCCCTGCTCAAGACGGATGGCTGCCTCCTTTGCCACCTTTCTTCGGTGCCCTCTATCTTTCTGTTCTGGCAAAGGAGAGGCATCCAATGGACTAGAACTTTTACCTCCACTAAGTAAAACTACTCTCATGTATAATATTGAACATTTGGCTTGTAGGCAAACACACAAAAGGGGTTTGAAGTTTATTTTAGGGGCTGTTTATTGCTATCAGCATGTGTGTAATAGTCCAGAGTAATAGCAGGAGCAGCTAATTAGCTTTGGCTGCTGGCAATTCTGACCTATAAAAGTATACATCTCTGCCAGACACAAGAAGGGCTCCTCACTGCATCCATTTCAAGGCCATGCTAACTCCCCACTAACCACCAATAGCGCTCAGCACTGAAGAAGCGCAAATGAAAAACCCATACAGGATAGCCTAGAGATTGGTCTAAGCGGAGGCAGGTGCCTAAAAATCAAAACCATCAGTTGGCAAGGAGCCCCACCTGGACTGCATTTCAGCTTGTGCTTTTGACTGCTGATGTGGCCCGGGCTGGTGAGGCTGGCACGGGGCTTGGGGAGCGGCTGGCACCTGCTGCTGAGGAGTGCCAGCCTGGCACTGGGAGGGGGCCCCGGCCACGTGGGACACAGCGGGCGGCAGAGGTGAGGAGAGGTGCTGCTTCTGGGGCTGCTGCTGCTGCTGCTTGTATCGGGAGAGGCTGAAGAAGAGGCCTAGAATGGCCTTGAGGTTTCCATTCCTGATCTCTGCAAGACAATAAAGAGACTCTTGTCAGATGGGGAGCCCTTCTTCCTGTTCAACGGGCTGTTTCAGCCTGCACGTGAGTTTAATTTCTTTAGGATAACAGGCTTCTCGAACACTTCATTGGTATCACAGTCAACTGAAATCGGGCCTAAACCACAAAGAAATTAGCTTATTCTCGCCATTAGTATTAGAGTGGATACACAAGGCAAGTTGCAACTGGATGTCTGGTAGGTGCCAAGAGGAAATTCTCAGTAAGGACACCACTGAAAAAGCAAGCGTCTCCAGCAAGACTGTGCTTGTTACACAGGCAGAGGATGGAGGCCCTCTGGCACTGGGGGAAGCTCCTGGGTCCTCACATTGCACTTGGCTTCTGCCAAGTCCACGTTCTAAGCTTCAAGCCACAGAGTGTGCCAGGTGGCTGCTGTCCCACTCCATGACCCATGCTCTGCTTTCCCCAGCCATCCTACTCTCAAATATGTGGCTCTGTGTCGCTCATCTGCTGAATAAATAATAGGCTATAAGCACTTGCTTCCGTAATGGACTCACACAAAATATTCCCTACATTAAAAGAAATTAGAACAGAGTGGGAATCAATTTTTGTTTATACTCCAGACAGTATTTTTCAACGTTAAAATGCATTTGCTTCAAGGCATGCATAAAGAGTTGCAGAGGAGAATAAAATATTTATTCACAGGCAAAGGCTACAGCTCGTGAGGGGCTTCTCCTTGGGTGATCCCTCCTTTCTATGCAGTTAATACTAGATGCAGATGGCCAGAGTCTGAGCAGACCCTGAGAGTGAAGTTCTAGGGCCACCCAGCATGAGGGACAGAGGAGAAGGAACCTTGGGGGCAAACATACTTGGCCCTCTCTGCTTTCCTATCACCCTAGAATAAGTTTTTCTTAACTGAGAAGGGGGGAAAGACAGATGGGAAGCAAAAAATCTTCAAAAGCCTTGTTAGAGGGGTAGGTAATGCACACTTAACAGGTTAGCCCTGGGCTGGGAAAGGGGCTGCTAGTGGAGGAAAAAGTTTCCTCCAAGGCCCAGTTGAGAGGCAGAAGGTATGAACGGAGTCCTTTCAGAAGCAAACTCCATTCCATACAGAGGAGGAAGGGCTCCCTGCCAGTGCCTTCACCCGGTGTGATTTGCTGATTAGGTCAGGCTGAGTTACTTCCCCTCGGAGCATCCCTATCTCCAGGCTCCAAAGAAACTGACAATACAAACCTCTAGAATCCAGTCTTCATACCCTACTTTGGAAGCTAGCAGATTCTGATCACAAGACAAAGTAGACAAGAGCGTAGCATTTGGAAAACCTAAGCCGTGAGTTTCAATCTGTATTCTTATCACTTACTAGCTATGCAATCCCAGACAAGTCACTTAATCTCTCTGGGCCTCAGTTAAAGGGCAATACTGACACCACTCTGCCCCACTGCACAAGGTTGTTTTGCAGAACAAATGAGAACATTTAGGTAAAAGCACTCTTTAAACAGTGAAGTCCTTCACTTGTCTTGGTAATAACCAATATGACTATAGCCCCAGAATATCGAATGCAATTCTCATACAGCTCCAGCTTCATAACTTAAAAATGACAGTTTTTACTATGGTGACCTTTTAATCTACTGTGCTAACTATGATACTTTTGAGAATGAAAGCCAGGGAGTCAGGAGCTCTTAATTATATCAGGACCACAGTTGGTAGCCAGGACTGACGTGGACAAGTTAGGATGTAAAATGACTGCTTATAAACCACTCTGTGTGATGTGTGCAGCAGAGAAAGGTTCAAGGAGTAGTCCAGCCCCTCTGTCTCTTTTGGTAATTCAGCTTTAACCCTTCAGCCATGCTTCCTTCTTCACAGTAAGGAAACCAAACGAGAGGCACACACCTGTAGCATATTCCACTTCTGCTTCCAAACGTTCTCAGTGATACATGAGAATTAGAGTGTGCGGCTTGGATGAAATAATTCAGTTGGCTACTCACTTTACTTACGGGAAAAGAAAGGCCCATAAAGTGAAATGACATATCGATAGTCACCCAACTGGGCAGTGACAAGAGCTAGGGACAAAAATCAAGATAAGCCAATCAAGGGCTGACATGCATGTTAGTGCCTATTAAACTTAAGAAAACAATTTCCCCTCAAAACTGAATTCACCATAGGGAGAAAGTACTGCTAATTATGGGGATAGGAGAAAGCTATGTAAGATTTATTTTTAGTGCCTTGTACAGTTATCAGGTCATATAGTTTATAACAATAAGAGCTACTATTATTAACCAGTGTGTATCAGGCTAAGCTCTTTAAATGCATGATCTCATTTAATCCTTACAACATGGGAAGTGAGTAGCATTATCCCTCTTTCACATAAGGAGAAACAGAAACTCAGAAAGGTTTTATGACTTCTCTAAGGTAATAAACACTGGAGCTGGGATTTGAATCTAGTTTTCTGACTCAGGGTTCAGTTTCCTAGTACTGTATAACCTTACTTGTATACCCATCATGTTTTATTAAGCTAGCTGGTGGGCATTTAAGTATTCTTGATTTTTCTGGGATTTCAAGCATTCCATAATGCATTTTTTCTTAACCATGCAAGAAAAGACAAGAGGAGAGAAACTAACAATTCAGCATACCTGAGGGGTTAGGGGTTGTCCACTGCAAAAACAAAAAGTAGGCACACTCGCATCAGCACCCTCCATAACCTACCAGCCCAATCCTAGTACAGACAAATGGAGCCAGTCTTATATTCTCTTCCTACCGTGGTCATTTAGTTATTTACTGCTCAGAATGGCCACTGTTCTCTAAAACATTTGTTCATTGGTCAGAGACTATAGTACTCCTCCAATAAATATACTTCCTTTTAGGAGGCAGCATTTTTATAACAAAAATCTTTCATATTTGAAGCAAGAAAAACTTGTGGTTAAATCTCTACAGTCCATCATTTATACACTTTGAGATTTTACAGGATTCAATCTCTCTGAGCCTCAGTTTTCTTCTTCAAAATGGGCATATGTCCTACCGTACCTTTCCTATAGGATTGTTATGGGAATTAATTGAAGATAATGAGAAAATGAGTACATCTAGGATACTGCCTGACCCTGTACTTCCCTTTTTGGCTGAGAAAATGTGGCCATTCTATCTGCAGCCTCCTTAGAACCCACTACAGAGCTCTTCACCCAAAGTAAGCCGAAGAAGTGGTCCATTCTCTCTGCTCATCCCCTGTATGCCACAGTCACTGGTGTCCAGAAAGGAAAATCATGAATGATCCAACATTACCGAAAACTCAATGGTAATCTTTCTGGTTTTTAAAGCAGTTTTACTGAGGTAAAATTTCATCAATTTAAGCGTACAATGTAATGATATTTAGTAAATTTAGCAAATTCTAGATTTAGAGTATTTCTATCCTAAAAAGATTCCTCATGCTCATTTATAATCAATCCCCAAACCCACTCCCAGGCAACCACTAATCTGCTTTCTGTTTCTACAGATTTGCCTTTTCTGGACATTTCACATAAATAGAATCATGCAATATAGATGGTCACTGACTTGCGATGGTTTTAATTATAATTTTTCACCTTCACTATGGTGTGAAAGCAATAGGCACTCGGTAGAAACTGTATTTCAAGTATCCATACGTCCATTGTGTTTTTCACTTTCAGTATGGTGTTCAATAAATTATATAACATATTCAACACCTTATTATAAAACAGGCTGTGCATTAGATGATTTTGCCCAACTGTAGCCTAATCTAAATGCTCTGAGCACATATATGTAAGGTAGGCTAGGCTGAGCTATGATGTTCAGTAGGTAAGATGTATTAAATGCATTTATTTTCAACTTAACGATGGATTCCTCAGGACATAACCCCATGGCTCATTAAGGAGCATCTGTATATCATTTTATGCATCTGCTTTTTGTTTTTTGTTGCTTTTTTGAGACTGAGTCTCACTCTGTTATCCAGGCTGGAGTGCAGTGGCACGATCCCAGCTCACTGAAACCTCCGCCTCCCGAGTTCAAGTGACTCTCCTGCCTCAGCAGGCATGCACCACCATGCCCAGCTAATTTTGTATTTTCAGTAGAGATAGCGTTTCACCACGTTGGCCAGGCTGGTCTCAAACTCTTGACCTCAGGTGATCTGCCCACCTCAGCTACCCAAAGTGCTGGGATTACAGGCATGAGCCACTGTGCCCAGCCTGTATCTGGCTTCTTTTACTTAACATAATGTTTCAAGGTTCATCCATGTTAGAGCATTTGTCAGTCTTTATAGTCCTGTCATTTAGATACATCCTATTTTGTTTATCTATTCACCAATTGATGGACATTATAACTATTTAATTTTCTTTTCAGATTACAAAAACTCCAGCGTGCTGAATGTGCTGACAGCCACACAGTTTCTGCCATGGGTGGTCTATAACACACATTATCCAAAATAGCTAGAATTATATTCTTTCCATATTTCCAAATGGTATTTGTCTGTGTTTCGTGAGGCTTGATAAGCCAGCTCCACAGGAAGCCTAAAAAAAAAAAAAAACCCAAAGCCCCACAAGAATGTTTCCCTCATGCCATTCCTCAAGGCTTTGGAAAGGGAGTTATTATTTTGTAGCTGATTAACCTCACCCTCTGGACTTCCAGAGAAGGAAAAACATGTATATCTAAAGAGAACTGATATACAGTTGCCCAAGGAGACACTAGCCAGCTGTGGCTAAACCAGAACTGGAGCCCTGTTCTTTTTCTTCCTGTGGCCACTCTTGTGGCAACCAAAAAGCAAACTGCATGGGCCATATTCTCATATTCCAATTTCCATTTGAATTAGTATTGCCTTGACTCCACTTTCTCTGGGTTCTAACCACTTTCTTCCTATTGGCTGGCCCTAGTCTGCATAGATCCTGTGGGTAATGTCAGGCATGAAGGGTAAGATAAATAGGAATTATTTTATTTCAACATTTTTAAAGAGAAACTTTAGGCTTGGTTTACAACGGCACAAGTGCTGAAATAATCTAATACAAAGAAACCTGC